TCTCTCTCTCTCTCTCTCTCTCTCTCTCTCTCTCTCTCTCTCTCTCTCTCCGTCTTGTGTTTTGTGCCGCGTTGCTCATGGTGTGGGTGGTGTGGGGAACGTGTGTGCTAGGAGAGGCAACGTCAAAATAGTCCCCTTGTGCGGATGAATATTCTTTTTGTAAGTCTTGCGAAGGCTTTATGGCGCGGAACATGTCCCCGGGAAAAAAAGTCAGTTTTTCCAACTTTGGGCGTTGAGCACACGCATAAGGGTGGCTGGCGGTCCTCGGTTTCGCGCAGTGTTGTACCGACGAGCCCCTTGCGTGCCCGTGAGAAGGAAGCGTGAGAAAAGATTGACTTCCTCCGGCGAAATATGTCCCGAAGCACGAGAACAGGCGAAACGATACGTATACATATATTCGAGTCTTGTGGGTGTGTGCTGCACTGTCTGCAAACCAAGAGAATCAACACTAGCAATATATTGGAGAGTTGTGGATGTGTGTGTTGCGCTGGCCCGTTGTTTCTGCAACATTCGTTTTTCTTGTCGATGCTGTACAGACGTTTGCAAAGCTTCCCGAATTGTATTTCGAAACCATTCGAGAAGGTGCCAAAAAGTGTCAAACCAGCCGTTTCGGCGACGAGCCCGATCCCTCTCTCTCCACCTTGGTTGTGGAACGGTCCTCTGTCGCAAGCTTCGTTGGCCGCTCGCCCCTTGCTTAAGCCGCCGCGCCTCTGCTGATGTGATGTGTCCCCCGATGTAATCGTTTGCTCTCGCGGATGCGTTCCCGGAAGGGTGATGTTCAGCAACAACTTCATCGCGGAGGGGATAGGAGACCTAGCGGCAAACATGTTACGCTTTACCACGGCGCTCAAGCAAGTCCACGAACTTGTCGCCCTCCTCGTGTAAGTTTTTTTACTCGTTTCTGTGTTTTCATCGTGGTGTGTGTTGTCGTGTTGGCAGATAAGAGGGTAGCACTGTGAATCTCTCCGCACCGTTCCTCTTCGCTGGTGTTTGTCAAACTCCCCCGATTAAGGTTGTGTATGTTGCTGTTCGTGGCCGACTGTTGTCACCACCATAGTCACGACTCTTGTGGTCAGTGTTGCTCACGATTCTATCGCTGTCTTTGTTGTTGTCGTCGTCGGCATTGCTTACGTCACTTTTTCATTGCTGCCCTTGAGAACCGGTACATTGTAGATTAGACTTTATACAAGTGTTTCCCCCTTTTTTCTCTGGCGACCTTTCCATCCGCAGTGATAGCGTCAAGTCCGGTCTGGCGGCACCCCTTCACACCTTCAACGAAGGCTTCAGGGATCTTGACGACCTTGCCGACGAGCTCGACATCAGGTGACCACCGTACAATAGCGTCTCGACTACGACAACACCACGTACGTCATTCGAGAAGAGCTGGGCGCTTCGAACGACTGCGCCCTGATTGGAACCTTAAAAGGAGTTCACCCCAACCTTAGACAGGATTTGGTCAAGAAGGAACGCCGGTTCGGGGGTGATTCTCGATCTCTACTAACTGGTTGCTGCCGCCGAGTGTTTATTTGTGGACCATCCCCATGCCGTCACTGCTGTCGACCTGTTGGCTTTTCTTTTTGCCCTGTTTTTTGTTTTTTGTGGCGGTTGTCAAACAGCCCGGCAACTTGTTTCCTTCACAAACTGACTTTGTCACACACCCGCAAACATGGTATGTATCCATCTGCGTGTCTGTAAACACGTGCGAAACCCGAGGCTCTGCCACCCGTTGATCCGAGCGCATGCTTAATTTTTCAAGAAGCTCGCTTCCCTGCTTGTTTTTGCTGTATTTTCTTCGAGCTCCCGCCTGTGAACCGATGAGTGCTGTGTTCTTGTCTTCTCGCTCGCTACATGTAATTGCTTCGGTAGAGGCGCTAACTCGCCTGCCATTGTGCGTGTGTGGTGCGTTGAGCTGTCATGTCCCCGACTAGTTTACGGCTCCTCAGGTTCAGAGAGGATAATGCGTATTTTTCGGAAGCCAACTGACCCTACATTCCTATGTTTGTTGGATTTCTTGTTGTTTCGCAGAGGTCGCGAGTACGAGAGCACGCTGTCCAAGGCGCTGGACCAGAGGGAGCTGCCGACGGAGGGACCAATCCACGACAAGGCTGCCAGAGCAAGGTGCGGTGGACGCATGGCGTGCGTTCGACAGACACTGGTGATTTCACCGCTGGCTGGCAATTAGAATTATTTGCCTCAAGAGAGGTTTTTGCTCAAGGATGTTTTGCCTGACGATTTTTATGCTGGCGACCACTTGTAGATCGTTCGTTACGACAGCGATGCCTCTGGTTTGGCGGTGCCCCGTCGCACACGATGCATGTGGCACAGGAAGTCGGTCGCACTCAAGGATAAATGAAAGTGCTGGTTGTTTGGTGTGGTGTGCGAAGAAGAGTGTCGTGGTTGCGGCGTAGCTTGCAGGCAGGCACTTATCCGCGCGTACTGGCAGACCCGGGGGCGCCCAACGAGGGGCACGGCAGTATGAAGCGCTTGTCAAACTCTCCCCCCCTAGCTTTCGCAGGAGGCAGGTTTTTCGGGGTGATCGACAGACACGACCAGGCCAAATTGGTAGGTGCAAGTTCACCGATTATTGTGGGTTCCTGTGTGTATCCGATTGTGGTGTGTTCCTGCATGTAACGCCATGCAGCAAGAATCGCGCTCAGTACGAACGGCGTGTGCTGCGCTACTGCCAAGCTCGTAAGTGGCCCAACTGAACAATTCTGCAAGCACGAGTAGGAAACGATAGCAACAGGGCAGCATCGGGATGCCGCGCACCACGGATTTTGAGTAGATTTATTTTGCTTGGACCGAGAACAAAAGCAAGCCGTTACCTAACGAAACTTAGAAGTTGGCGAAACAAAACGTTAATGTGGTACGGAATTCCATCCAGGTGTGAGTGCGGTGAAAAACAACGTTGATGTGGTACGGAATTCCATCCAGGCGTGAATGCGGTGAGAAACCACAGGCCATATGCACGAATCAAAGTGCCTGCTTCCTTCGCTTGGCGATTTTTGTATTGCAGCATCGTGCGCTCGTCCCGGATATTATGTTTTTGTTTCTTGCCAGTTCAGCACACTGCTGTAGGGTGTTTAGGCGGTGGCAGCCATGTTGTTCGGCTTGAAGGCCGAAAACGACAGCAATCCGGATCGCAACAGGCAATATCAGTATCAACGAGTGAAAAGCACTCTCAAAAACCTTCACAATGAACTTTCTCACGTTGTTGGTTGAACGCGATGCTTCCCAGCAGGAAGTAGCGATGTCCACCCCCGTAGGCGATGAAATTTCGGTCCAGTGAATGAAAATACTCCCAAGCTGCATCAATGAGTTGGTTTTCGTAGAGTGTCTACAATCTGTGAATATTTTGCGAATGATCCGTGCGTGCATCGACGCTCACCAGGTGGAACTTCGAGCTGTTCAGATTCGACGTGGTTCGCTACATGAACCAGCTGGACTCGAAGAAGGTGCTCCTCCTGGAGACCGGGATAAACAACACCTTTTACGGTACGTTCCGTGGGAATAGTGGTGGGTAGTACATCACCACCGGGGTGCCCGCTATATAGCAACAGTGTTAGCGTTTTTGCTCTGAGACTATTTCATTGCCAGGCAAGCCGCTTCTCGTGGTCGATGCTAAGAAACAAAACACACGGTTGCTACCGTTTCTGTCGTTCATCCGAAGAGGAGTTTAGCCCCCCCCATGACAGGGTCCCAGAATATGGTCTTTCGAAGTTTTTGCTGCTTTGGCCGCACTGGTCTGCTCGTTAGCGCGGTAGGTGTCACGAAACACACGCACACACTCACACACGCACGCACAAGGGGGGGAACTTTGCGGGCCGGATCCCCTACCCCTTTTTGTCGCTGCGATCAGCGTATTTTCGACGGTGAACCAGTTGGCCTGCAAGGTCTGCGCCGATAAAGCAACGTGCTGGCGGCGTGTCACCATCATTGTGTTAGTATGCTTTTCTGTTTTGTTGCCCGTTGTTCTTTCCTCCATGTTTCCCTCGGCCGTCAATATTTTGTTTGTTTCATGTTCAGCACCACAAGAATAATAGAAACCGCCGATGGAACCTAAAAAAAAACTGTATAAAGAAGCACAATAAAGATCACAAAGAGCCTTATGCCTGAAATCGTGTTGATCTACGGGGGGGGGGGGGGTTGCTATTTCTAGCGCTGCTGGCGTTCTTCCAAGGCGGAGGGTCAATCTGCGGGGAGATGGAAAAGTCGATGCGTCGGCGACAGGTGGTGCTGGACGGAATGAACAAAAGACACGACCGGGATAACGCCCTGTGGGCCTACGTCCGCTCTCGCCTGGAGGTAAATTGCATAAGTTGTATTTGAGGTAGCTGGCAGTCGATCGATCTGCGACTGCTTGCCAACTAGAGCCTTGGGTTTTTGGCAGCGATTACGGCACCAAATAACAGGTTGCACGGAGCCCAAGTATGCTTACTGCATGGGCTCTTTGCTGCTATATTCAACCATGTCTGATTGGCTGGAGCTCACCCATGGTGCTATCTAGGAGTAGAAAATATTTTTTTTGCCAGCGATTAGAGCACCACATGCAGGTGCAGGTGCTCGGTAGGCTTCCCCCGCGCTTGTGTGCCAACGCTGTTTCCTGCTATCTAGAGCGACAGGTTTAATCCGCCAAGGATCTCTTTCGTGCGGACATCAACGCTTCCCCGAAAAATTTGGAACGCGATCGGTGCTTGTGCAAAGTTGTGGGTGCGCTCTCGCTGGCCTGGCGATGCCCCCGGTGTTGTCTGTTTCTCCGTGCCGGCTTTCGTTGATGGTTCTCGCTTCCGCCAGCAGTGCTGATGGAACAGGAAAAAATATTATGGGAGACAGGGAAACCCGTATTTTATAGTTGTCGTCTCTGCTCCTCCTCCACATATGCCGCACTTCATTCCGGATGACTCTTGTACGCGGACGACCTACCGTTGTAAAGTAGATTGGTCCTGTACGTGGAATTGACCGATTGGCCGTCGGCGATTGGTCCTGTGGGAACAATGCTCCATCCTCTCGGGGACAAGTGGTCCCATGGTCTAAAGCAGCTAAGGCGTCCCAAACACGGATGCGCCCCCCCACAGACTAAAGATATCTTTAATGTGATGTGATGTGATGTGATGTGATGATACGCGAAGCTGATTTTCTCTACGCTGGCGAACTTCCAGGCCGTTCCTTCTTGGTGGTGGCCTCGCGTGACCCATGGGCCGCCACTTTTCTGCAGCGCTACTTGGTGTACCAGATAGCACCCCTTTCTAGACGGAGGAGGGCCTTGCTCTGTAGACATGCCTCGAGGACGTGTGGTCCATGACCTAAACAGCAAGGTCATTCAAACACGAGTACCCCCCCCCTCGCGAATGTCATTTATTCCTCCAGGCGGAGTTGCAGGGGGCGTTGCCGCCCCCCGGGGCGCCTCCCGGCGCTCGAGCGCCCGTCAACCCCCGGGCGGCCTGTCCCGTGTACGTGGCGGAGCTCACGACGGAGGTGCTGTCGGCCGCTAGCCAAGAGGTCAGAGAGGGCGAGTTGTCGCTGAAAAGGGCGCGTAGTTGGAGAGGGGTGTCGTGCTTTGCATGCCTCCACCCCCGCAAAGCGATGGTGTCTGTGGCGATGGTGTTAAGACGGGTGGCCATTAGCCTGGCTTGAATTGTGCCTGGCGAAAGCACCAGACTACTCACCCTCATTTGTTTTTGAGACACCATCCCTCTGTTGTATTTTTTCCAAGCCCCTGCGTCGGGAACAATGCTAACATTGAACACCCCAACCCCCCTCCGTCAGTTTTATGGTACCCCCGTCGCCCCCGCTGTCCACGCGTCACTTGCTTGCACGTCCCAGGCGTCTGCGGTGGACATGATGCACTACAAGGACGAGGGCGTGCTCAAGCAGGGGTACCTCATGAAGAAGTAAGCGAGACGCGTTTTGCTTGCTGTCTATCTCGCCTGCTCTTGGTTGGGCGTGGTTTTAGGCCGGCGGCGTGATTATTCGCTCGTGCATCGTTCTGTCGCATGCTTTCCATCGTCGCCGATAGCAGACGCCTCGACTTTTTCTTGCTGGCAGTGTACTAAGTGCAAGTATCCCAGACTCTGCGCATGCTTTTGCTCTTGCGCGACCTGGGCATTTGGATCCACCGGGCTGTTTTTATATTTTATTAGCAAGGCTGCGGTGGGGCGGGCACATTCTCCCGTACCCCGCCAACCCCCACAGGCATGTGTTTGGATGGAAGGAGCGTTGCTGGTACCGTCTGCATGCCTCCAAGCTCTACACGTTGGAGCTGAGCAGGGCGGCCGCAGGAGACGTGCCCGTGTGCGTCTTCGACCTCAGCAAGGGGGCCACGGTAGCCAAGAGGCCGGGTGAGGCGTAATTGTTGTTGCTGCTGTGGTTTCGGTTGTGGTGGTTTCTGCTGGTGTTGTTGCCATGTCTGCTATGTTGTTGCTGTGTTGTTGTTGTTGTTGTTGTTGTTGTTGCTGTTGCTGCTGTTGTGGGTGCTGGTGGGTTTGGTGTCATTGCTGCTGCAGTTGCGTTCATGTTGGGTCAAAGGGGTTGCAGGTTGAGGCAGAGCACAAGCCCTCATACCGGCTCCCTGCCTCCGACGTTTTGGCTGTTGTTATCGCGCAACAGGAAAGATTCCGTTCTGCTTCCTTCTCGTCGGGGATGACGGCTACAGGCTAGAGCTGCAGGCCGAGAGCGAAGACGAGATGCTCAGGTATGTGGTTGGTTGTTCTTGACGCATGCGTGAAGCCCACCTCTACTCCACACGCCTATTTTGACAGTCATGGCGCTGTTGTTGCTTCTTGTATTGGCGTGGATCGTGAATGTTTGAGGTAGCTTGGCCAAGCGGTCTGTGTGTACGCTGTAGCCGCGCACCACCCTTTTTAGTCGCTGCGGCGTAAACGACGAGCCACGTTTAATCATCAGCATCATCCGAGAACTTGAAGAGCGTTAGCGCATAGGGCAGCCTTACTATATCATAGGACAAGGACTGTGTACAGCACAACCCAGCCTGGGGTCTGGTTCCTGATAATCTGATCCCTATCAGTGTGACGGCATTCCGATCGTTCGATTGCACTTCTTACGCCATTCCCTTGTCCTGTCCCAAGTCTAAGATTAATAGCCGAAATGACGAGACCCTGGTACATATTTCGCGGAGAACATGTCGTGGGTGACAACGGGAGAAATGAGTCTGGACTCGTGCCGGGAAGGAACACCTCAGAAAAAGCTGTTCCGAGAAGCGCAGAATTCTCGGTGCATTGGATTGTTCCTGGCCTGCCTGTCGTCCTTAACCACACTTTTTTTTTTCGTTCCCACCAGGTTTCGATCCTGGTCCGGTGAAAACCCGACGTGCTCCGTCCCGGTTTCGCAGGGATGCGAGGTAAATGGTCTAACCACTACGGCATGCACGACTATGAGTACACACCCCCTCACCCGATTTCGATCGGTATTTTTGTGTTGTTGCGTTCGGTCGCGCTTGCCTATGTATTTTCACTCATGACGGAACGAAAAAAGATGGATGGCGGCGATGCGGAGGTGTCAACGGATAGAGGATTCCTCTCCCCGGGGTTCCACTGATCTGCTGGGCACCGCGGACGGAAGAGCAGGGGGAGGGCGGAAAACGATCGGGCTTCGAGCAGAAGCCCTGATGGATCGGTTTAGAAAAGAAAATCCGGTGAGAACGATGCGTGCCGGAACATCTTGACGCGGGTGTTCTGGGTATTTTTTTTGGGGCTTGGGAGGAGATGTTGGGCGCAGTTCCGGGTGCCACACTCTCCGTGATTGGCATGTACTAGTCGCTTTCCTCTCCCCAAGCGCCGGGTTTCACCGCGCTACTGTCCTCGCCAAAGAGTGGGGGGTTCGACCAGAATAGTTTATTTTTCACGTGTTTAGTGCCGAGGACTCCGGTAGCATGCTGATGCCCGATGCGCTCCTAACTTTCGTGCGAACGTGTTTAGCGAGATTGTGTAGTTGGAAGTGGAATATGAACCGATTCTTGTCCGAACTGTTCTGGACAACAAGGTTCCTCACTCCGACATAGTCCTTTTACTGGCACGACACTAACATGCCGCCTAGGTGCGACAGGGGGCTCCGCAGACATGGATGGGTCCACCCTGCGTTGACCCTCCCCCCTTCATGTTCTTCCTCATACCTCGCGTTGTCTTCAATAAGATACCGCTGGTTGTTCTGTCCTGTTTGGCGACCCATTTCTCATGTTTTTTCTTTGCATGAACATGAAGGTTTTTTTATCGTCATGCCTCCTTTGCTTTCGCTTGTACCGCCGAATGCACGTGTAGTGCTGCGCCGAGTGCGGGAGTTCGAGCATCGAGTGGGCCTCCGTGAACATCGGGATCACGCTGTGCGAGGCGTGCGCGACCGTCCACAGGGCGCTGGGCAGCTCGGTCAGGTAACGGCAACAGCAACAGCAATGCACTGCTGCTGGGTGCTTGGTACTTTTCTCTCTGTTTTGATCTGTTTTCGGCTTCTGGACGACAGGTGTGCGTTTTGTATACACTTCTATTTGCTTTGTCAGCATCGCCCGCGCTAACCTTCTGACTAATGAAAAAGGTAACCATCAAGATACCTGCAACGAACCAAAAAGTGTGCTGATTCTTCAACTCATTCTGGACGTCGGTCTGGTCCCTGGAATGATGCCAACGTGTGTCTCTGTGAAAATCATTCATTCTTGAAGTCAGCTATTTACCTTCTGTGTAGGTCCTTCAATTCATTCTGGACGTCGTTTTTTGGTTGGGGATAGGGGAAGGGTTAGGGTTAAGGAGGTGCGGTTGCATGAAGCGGACCAGGTAATGAACCTCTTCCCCGGCCTGGCCTGCTCCTCCTCTTCGCAACCATCCGGCACACCCGCCGCCGCAGCACGCTGCGGTCCTTGAAGCTGGACCCGTGGAGTGTTTTCGTCCTCCAGTCGCTGGTGGAAGACCTGGGAAACGAGAGGGCGCGGCGCGTGTGGGAGTTCAACGTCTCCCCGGGGTGGACCAAACCGACGCCGGACTCGGGAGCCCAACACAGAGAGCAGTGAGAAAGCTAGCTTTCCGTTGCTGTTGTTGTTATTGTCGTTGTTGTTGTTGTTGTTGTCGTAGTTGTTGACTTCACATTTAAAACCATTCCGATCTCTCTATCTAGTCCCTTCATCCGTCCGTGCTATGACACTGATGAAAAACTTGACGCGACCGATCCCCGCGGTTACAGGCGAACATACCCTGAAAACAATATTCTCATTAAATATTCTCATTACACAATACCATCCCGAGGTTCGCAAGGCCGTAGGTTGGATGGATTCATTGGCTGATTCCCTCACAGTTCTCCAGGCATGCGTACATAGAGATGGAACGTGCGGTCGTTTCGTGCAGAATATGAAAAAATGGGTTAGGCGACGAAGTCAACGGTTTTGAGCAGTTACCGTAAGTTTGCGACAGAACGCACGGGGGTGCGATCGATTTTTACAGCGAAATTTCTCCACAACGAGGATGGTGCGAGCGCCAACTGATACCTATCAGGAAAGCTCTCGATGAGATGGTTCGAAAACTACCCTTTTTCGACAGCGTTACCCTCCTGCTTGTGAAGCAAATACGCTTTGAAAATAGATCGCACCCCCTTGCGTTCTCTCGCATCCTTACGGTATGTCATGATTTTTGGAACGCTCTCGACAAGACGGTTCTGACGCCGCAAGATTGCGCCGCCGTTAGTGGATGTGCTGCAGACTAGTCGGGCTGTGAAATGGGTGGTCCGGGGGTGTGGTATCTTACGCAACCTGCGGCACACGCCTGCTGAGCAAGTGTCGCTTGCTGCTGCTCTGGGGTATGTATATGACTCTTGTGGTTCGGATAGCAATCCCGTTTCGGTCTTTATTTGTCGTTTTTTCGGGTTGATCTTGTGACCCCTTCGGTGGTTTGATTCCAGATGCTTCTTTGGTGTTGGGTGGGACGAGGCGGTCACTGCCATGTGCCGACGTTGATCATCTACCGCCGCTTTTCACTCTTCTGAGGTTGCTTGCTGCCGCCCGTGCGTACGTGGACGGTGTGCACATGGCGGAAGTTGCGCGCGAAACATGACACCAGTTGTCGTTCGCGTCTTGGTCGATTCGGTATTGTAATGCGTCGTTGCCTAGTGCCGGCGCTGACTTGATGCCCTTGGTGTTCGCTTGTGTTTGAGGTCGATGCTGATGAAGTTTGCTAAGGTTCCGACACCCAACGCCAATTCCATCTTTGTGCACATGCCTGTAGCTTATGTTGTAGTTAACTCAACACCTATCATTTCGTAATTCCGAACCGCCAATGCATCAAGCACGCCGTTGAGCAATCCGCCCCTTTGTCGCTTGTTGTGATTGAAATAGGTGGATCATCGCCAAGTATCGGTGGTACGGCTTCGTCGGGAACGACACCGGAGATCCCCCCCTTGTGTCCAAGGCCATGATACACGTGAGCATCGTCGAGACTACCGCCCTTTTTTTCGAGGGCTCCGTGGGTTGTGATTTCCATTTCCTGGGATGCGTATTCAGGGGACTCCGTGGTTTGTGACTTCCTGGATGCGTGTGCAGGCTGGGCTCCGTGACTAGGGATTTCGTAAGTGGTGAAATATCCCGCCACGTGATCGTGACACTGCACGCCACCCCCCCTCCTTCCCTTGGACTAGAGACCCGTTTTGTTGCTGATGGTCGGTGTACCACGGGTCCAATATATTAATCGATTGCTAACACGTATGGTGCTTGGTGCATTGCCGTGTGTGCTGTCATTCCATCACCATCGTTGTGTGTCGTGGGAAAAGGATGGCCTTGACGACTTTGATATTGGTTGTGGTGATGACGACGACGTTGGCAATGATGATAAGTTGAAGATTGGGCAATGATGATATCTGAAGATATCTGATTATGATCATGTTGGTGATGCTTTTGACAATTCATGAATTTTGTACTCGTCCAGTGATCATAGTAATGATGACTTGGCAGCAGTGATGGCGATGATGATGACAACAATAATTCTGGTGTAGCAAGATCGTCACAACGGTAACGCTGCTGATGGGCCCTGCCTACGAAAATGATGTGGTACACAACGGCGTTGCAGGCGGCCGCTCGGGGCGACGTGGAGATGGTAGTGTGGTGCATCGCGCATAAGGGAGAGGTGAACTGGTCGGATCCCGACGAGAAAAGTGGCCGCACTCCCCTGCACGCGGCCTGCGAGGCTGACAGGAGGCGCGCTGTCGCGATCCTTCTGCTCAACGGGGCGAACATGTGCGTACTGTGTCTTATGCTGTTTGGATATCTCTGCAACAACATTTAGAAACCTGTCCACACAACACTACAACTGTTGATCTCTGCCCGAGTCCCACGAGCGTACTGTATTGTTCCCTGTCGGCGTCTTTCCCAAAAGTGGGCGTACTGCCATGGTATGCTTTTGGGCTCTTTGCCAGCACGTGTGCGTACAAGTATTGATATGCTTTCAATGCTCATGTGCACACCAAGTATGCCGTCGATGTCTTTCCCGGATCATGTACGTACCATTATGCTGTTGGCCTCAGAGCGTGTGTCACTCTTGATGTCACCAAGCGGTACACGCGCAGGTGTCTCAGTGCACCACCTGGGTGGTGCATAGCTAACTACCGGTCCTTTTGTTGGGCTATGTTTTTTGGTCATGTAGTTCATTCTTCAGCGCCTGGTTTATCTGAAGCTCGCGCCGCCTTGGTCGTGACCGAGATTTGGTCCTATTGCTTTGTACTCAAAGCCAACCCGGGAATGAGGATTTACAACTTGTTTTGCGCTTCTCGCCTCCAGGTATGCCAAGAATGCGCGTGGCGTGAGCTCTCAAGACCTTGTCAACCAAGACCCCTACTCTGATCTCGCACGCGTGTTGGCGGAGAAAGAGAGGGGGGACCTGTGGTGAAGTCTCGAACTACCACTGCTGCTGCTGCTGAAGGCGAAATACGTGTAGAAGGCGGTGTCCAGTGCCAACGCATGTTTCGGTTTTCAACAGTTCCTGTTATTCCGAGGGTATGGATCAAGGACTCCTACCGTGCTTGTTTTCGGCCAGCGAGTGCCGGTGTAGCGACCGACGGCGGGAATCGGATGGATGTCTGGTGTGCAATCGTCGGTGGTGACTGGATGTTGTCGATCCCAGGCGGAGGAAAACGTGGGGGAGTGATGCCACGGTAGGGAGGTCACCTGTGCTTATACGAAGGAGAGAGGCCATATTTTACCTGTTGGCAGCGCCCTGTTTCGCCGTGCCATCACCGAAACAGGACCACCGCGCGTGTTTCCCCGAAGGTGTGAGATTTCACCACAAGAAGGTACGTACTGTCGTGGGTGTCGGTTCACGTTCATTACGGCGCAGCTATGGAGGACCAGTAGTACAGTAGAAGTCCCTATTTGCTGACGGGGTGTGCACAAAAAATTCACCGGCACCATACCGGGCACCGGCACTATTCTTCAGAGTGGCTGCATAGCGCCAACGTGGCACTATTCAAGGTCTGAAAATCCCTCAATAGTGCCAGACCGGCACTTTTGACGAACTGTGTGATGGTAGAGTGCAGCGCTTTGCTTTGCGGGGCCAACAGAGTACCACATGAAACGTATATGGTGAGATCATGGCATGGGCGTCGAGGGCAAACTGCTGCGCCACGATAGGGGTGGTTCCTGCCCTGTCGAACACACATATGTTGCTTAATAAAGATAACTGGACGGGACACACATGCTGCACCTTGTTGCTGTACCCACCTCAGCNGGGCGTCGAGGGCAAACTGCTGCGCCACGATAGGGGTGGTTCCTGCCCTGTCGAACACACATATGTTGCTTAATAAAGATAACTGGACGGGACACACATGCTGCACCTTGTTGCTGTACCCACCTCAGCGCACGTGCTGCACACTTGCACAACCTGACTTAAAACCATTCACATGAATATCGCAAAGGATGCACCTCATGATGTCCAATATTTTGTTGGCAAGAATGCCGTGGTACTGGCCTTAAACGGATCAAACAAATTTCGCGCAACCTCAACATCACTCCTCGACAGCGAAAGCAAACCACTGATCATGAAGCGCATGGATTTTTGGCGGTAACATTTTTGCTAAACTCCTGCTGGCACAACCTGTTGATGAAGGAGGAAGCCAAATCTGTCTCCTCCCCTCCTTCGATGTAGCCAGAACAAGAACGGGACAATCAAGACTTAGAACATCCGCTGCAGCTGTAACCCCCGCCCAAACTACGTCGAGATAAATTCCCACATGTCTTTCTGGCGAGCCCGCTTTGCGGTATGCGCTGCGATCATCGCCATCCTCGCTTTCGACGGGTGGTACACGGCGTCTCCGTTGCCACTCTCCTCCGCTGCCGCCTCTAGGTACCCGAAGTGAGACGACAGTTCAGCGTAACCCGGTGGGGCACGCCGCCCGCGGCCTGCGTTTTCATCGTCGCTACCCCCCTCCTCTTCGTCGTCCTCTTCTTCGTCCTCCTCCTCTGACCCGGGAGACACGTGCGACCCAGCTACCTGTGCCGTCATGTCGTCCACCGCGTCCTGCCGAAAGCTACTACCACTTCATCGTCGTCCTCAATAGTAGCCCCAAGCTTGGCCTGAAGCGTGTTCACCGCGTTCCCCACGGCAGCCTTTCCGGGTTCAATGTTAAGTTCCGCCAGCAGCTCACACAGCTCCTCGTCTTGAGTGCTGGATCCCTGCTGCTGCGCCTCTAGCACGCTCGTGCTCAATGTGTTGAGACTCCTCGTGAGAGCCTTCATCTCAGGCTCGGCGATCCGGTCTCGGGCCTTTCCGTGTGGCTCGGTGAGTTCAGCTGCCATCTCCGCCGGGATTGTGTCAGCTTTGACAAAGCACCTGGTTCCAGGTAGCGGAAAGCATAGAACTACAGCAGTCCGATTGTGAGTTGACGAATTGATGTCAGACGAGATCAGCATTTGACAACACTTCATCGGCAAGCGAGAAAGCATCCTTTTGTAGCGAAGCAACAACGGGGGGTGCTGGAATACCTAGTCGAACACGTAAACATCTATCCGTGCAACCTCGTTACGTACTATCAAGCTTGTGCACATTTCATGATTTCAAAATATACACAGCGACAGCACATGTTCAAACCTGACCTGGCGATGTCTCAGCTGTTCGTGGGTCTGCGAACTTTGTTGTTGGATACATCAGTATTTCCAAGTCAGTTCTTCTCCTCAGATAGTATGGGATGAAACAGTGGCATCACCTCCCGC